TGTGTAAGCGAGTAAATCCCAGCTGGAGAAACCGCCCTGCCTTTGAGCTGTGCCCAGATTTGCTCGTGCTGGCCGCAAGGAAAGCGGTGTTGAGGGCACGCCATGTCAGTGTCTGCCACCCCCACGGCACCCTCAGTCATGCCGGGTTTCTCACGACGGGATCTCTGGTGTTCTCGTGGCTGTCGGACCGTTCTGCTCCCGAACGTGCCGTGCTCTGGTGCGCTGGTCAGCCTGGCCTGAACCCTACACAGAGCCCTCTCTCACCATGCGGGGTCGGTTCCTTCTGACCAAATCCCCCCCTTCTCTCCCGCAGCCCAAGCAGTATCTGTTAGTCTGTGTTGGGGACTGAGCGCTGCATGCAAGTCTCTCCATTTTCTCTCTATTTTAATAAATTTCTTCGTGTAGCTTTGGTTGTTGCCTTTGGTTCCTGAAAGGCACTTGCGGGTGGCTCTTTAATTTAAGTTTGATTTTTAGATAGGTTGAACAATGGAAGGGAAATGCATTTCTCTGCAGGAAAGCAGCGTTGCCTGAAGTAGACAGTGTGTATTTACTTGTAGCGGTAGAGATGAAAAGTTGTTAGATCCCCACTCTTATTTAAAGCAGTTCTTTAGAGGTGACTCAGTTCTGCAAAAAGCACTAACGATTGAGCTGTTGCCTGAATGACCGACTGCACAATAATGCTTGTCGTTTGCTGACATCAAAACAACGGTGTGACATTAATAATGGTTTTCCCCCTATGCTGGGGATCTAGTTTGGATCCGCTTTATTTGTTTTCCTTCTCAGCATATTGCAGATCTTCCTATAAGCAATCTGAGAGTCCAAAAGGTCTGACTCGAAGCCCAGGGTTCACCTGCAGGTGAGTGGTGCTTGCTCGCCTGACGCACGGCTAGAGCTTGCAGCCTGTGGGACTGTCTAAGGCTGTTTGCAGGTTTTAGTATTGCCATTTAGTGAGAGATGTGTGGGTTGGTGCTTTCTTCTTGTCTGCTCTGTTGTGGGTTGGTTTTACTTACCAACAAATGTACTCCAGTAAAAACCATAATGAAAAACAGCTCTAAAGCTGCTTTCTGCAAGTACAGCTTACTCCAGGTCAGGAGAAAAACAAGCTGTATTGATATAAGAGCACCTCGGGCTACGTAGTGGCCGTGGCAGTTGTGCCTTCAGCCGCAGGATGAAGCGGCAGAGAGCTTTAGAGCAGGCAGGCTCTCGGCGTACACTGAGTAGGATGGGGCAACCTTCACGAGCCAAAGAGCCTTAAGTTTAGTTTTGGCTGGTTTTGCTGTTGTTTTTTATTCCGCTGTTTACAGGAATAAAAATACCTGGAAATAGGGGTGCCAGTGGGAGAGGTGGGTTTTGGGTCATTTGTAGCTCTCTGAGCTGCATGAGAGGTTGAGGATGTGCGCTGCGACAAACCTCATGGGTTTTGCGAATTCCCACGTAGTCCAGGCAGAAAAGCCTCTGGGGAGCAAATGCTCAATTTCAGGACGGGAATTCCCAAATGGAGATGACCTTGAATTTGAAAATACCCCTTTCATGCCGCAGGCCTGTAGTGTCTTCCCTGGCTCAAGAAGGCAGCCTGTGCGAGTCAGTGCCGAGCAATACCTTCCCATTCGTACACAGCCCTCCGAAGACGAGCTGTGCACGGAGGTTTTCTTTGTTCTGGAAATCCATGGGAGAGGTGCCTGTGCTTGCAGAGGGCTTTTTCCCTTCTTTCTTTTCTTCTTTTTTTGCTGCTGAATTTGGAAATTGCCTTTGTCCCTCTTCTGTTTGTGAGGGCTGCAAAGGTTTTCTCCTCAGCTCATTATGCTTCTTGCAAGCTAAATAACAAGCGGTCTGTGTATGCGTGTATGAATTGATTCCTGTCCAAGCAGTGGGAGTCATTAAGGGGAAGGATGTTTAGCATTTAGGTTTCTGTTTAGTGACAAAAAGACAACATCAAAGTTGACAGAGCCCCAAATTTGCCCCCAATATACTCCTTCCCTGTCTCTTGGTATACAGTGCTGTCCCACCCTTGAGTGTTTGCAGAGAGTTTGTAAGTGGCCCCTGCTATTCCTTCGCAGTATTTCACTGAGAAGATGATGCTGAAAAGGGACTGATGCGAGTCGATTTTGTAGCTGTGATCAACAGCTGCTGCGGTGGAAAAGGAAAAGGGTTGTGGTCCTCCCTTCCCAAGCACCCATCCTTCCACTTGGAGGGGATGTTGGACACAAGGTCCTTTTGTTCCTGTTGCCTTCTTCCTCGTGGGAGCCCAGTGCCTCGGATGCTGGAAGATTTACAGCCCCAGCACCTCCGCCCTCTTCCTACACAGAGTTGTCCATTCTCAGCATCACGCAGGTCTGGCTCCGGCTGAGGTACTGCATCCCAGGACAACAAGTACTTACCTTGAGTGACAGGGGGACGAGGGGATGCGTCGGGGTGTGTGGTTCCTGTTCTCATGGCAGCCTTTGAGGAGGACACTGCTGTCACACTGACCGGGAGATTCTCAGAAGCGGTGTGTGCTCGCGGCTATGAGAGCTCTCATCCCACTGTTTTACCAGAGATGTTTCTTAGGTTTTTCCTACTATGTTCTGGCTAGCAATATCGTGCTGGATTTATTGCCATTAGGCATTCAGTGGAAACGTTATGTGTGGCCTTTGGCAGCTTTGCGTTGGCCCTGAGCGCCGTTAAGCTCTGTTAGAGGCATTCATTCCTATGCCAGTAGCAGTTTTGCAGCACAGTTAAGTGCTGGCCCTGCAGACGGGGGATTTATGAGAGGGCGACTCTTGTGATGTCAGGAATACAAGGCTTGGAAACGCTGGGATTCCTGTTTACCATCTGTTTCCACGGCCCTTCCCTAATAGACCTCTCCTCCTCCAGAATTCAAGGATCTTTAATCAAAACTGTTTGGCTTGTGGTGGGAGGGAGGAAATCCCAAGTTGTGGAGGAGATTATGACATTTCTTGACCTTTTCTATGTGTATCTCGGAGACAAACATGCTCTAATGAGTGTGCGTGTGCTTATGTTTATAGGTTTAGTCTTTGGGTGTATTTCCTAACGCAGGCACTCAGCGAGATGCTAGGTTACGCATTTCTCTGCCAAATTGAGATAAACTTGCAAACCCTTTGGGGGAACGGTGTGTTAGCTAGGCTGATCCACAGGCAGCTGTATACAAGAAACTAGCTTACCGACTGTTTCCAGATACGCTCTTCTCGAGAACCCGCATTTCACTTTGGTTGGAAAACTAAGCGTTCCAGTTTTGAGTCGTTCGGTTCAGCGTGGTGCCGCAGACCTGTCCGCCTATGCAGGAACTCTTACAGCATCGTCCTTTCCTCTGAAGGGAGTTTTGAGTGTGCAGCCTGTTCTCTTGCAGTTGGTGCTGCCCAGCAACACTTAATAAGCTAGCTTTGTTATCACACAGTGTTAGTTGTGGCTCATCTTCTCCTCTTTGCTCATGAAAAATATTACAGCAGTCCCATGCAGAAACGTCTGCTGCAGCATGATCTAAAACTGAGCAATACTTTCAGAATTGAGTGACTCGCAGTTTGGGGTGCTCTCTGTGTGACTTGTGAGATTACTCAAAAGAGCCTGGCATTTAGAAAGTGGATTTTCAGTGGCTTCTGAAAAATTGAGCTGTAAAACTGGTGCCACATGAGAAATTATTGGTCTAGTATGCATCTTTAGTACACGTTAAAGCCTGGGGAAACACCATGTCGTGGTTTAACCAGGACACACCAGTTCTTGCAATTCCATCAAGGAAACTTGATCAAGACTGATAGCATCAGAAGTCAGTAGATGGTTTGATGACACTTAAAATACAAAGATTGCATTAAAGTAGCACGCAATATGATGAAACATTTTCCCCCCTTAGGGTGAGCCGTCTCTCTTTTCCTTTTCTAGTATGTCCTGTTAGGTACGTACACCAACTGCGCCGTTGCTTTCCAGCAGCGTGCAAAGCAGCGTTTCCTTTGCTGCTGCTTCCCTGGCTATGCACCGGTCCTGTGCGGAGAACTTGGCTTTTGGCCCAGCAATTGTGCGGTGTGGGTCACTTTCCTCTGTGCTCTTGGGAGAGGTGGCTGCGGCACCACAGCTTGAGCTATGACTAGTTAGTACTAGTACTAAAAAGCAGCTGCTTCACCTTAAGTTGAAGAGCCAAGGCTGCCTTAGCTAAGGCTGGAGCAGACTTGGTATTTTCTGTGGACTGGGCAAAGAGGGAGATTCTGGAACATGCGCTTGCCCTTGTGTTTGCACCAACACTTAAGAAATCCTCTCGTACCATAAGGGCTCATCGCTGCTGCAGCGTATTGCAGACCAGAGCGTGCCTTTCCTTCCCAGACGGAGTCTCGAAGGAAAGCCTTTCTTCTCTCCAGCTCTGAGCATCCCCTCTTTGTAACAGACTTTAAATGGGAGAGACAAAGGCCTGAGGCTTGTGTTCTTGCTGGGGAGTTTAGTGCTCTTGGTATTGGAGCTTTTTCTGGTTTTCTGTTGTGAAGCATGCCGGGAAGCCCTTAAAGAAATGCCTGCAGTGCCCTCAGGGATGCAGGTCTTTTCTTGGGCCCAGTTCATTTGCCAGCGACATGAGAGCTCAGAGGGTACGAGCTTGGTCAGTGCTGGGTGGGAAGCAGCCAGCCAGGATCAGACCTAGAGCCAGAAAAGCCAAAGCTATTTTCCCAGGCAGTGGATTCCTCCGGAGAAGGAATCTCCTGTCCATGCCGCAGAAAGCGCACAGGGCTCTCGCTTTTGCCTGAGCTGAGGGAGAGGAGGACAGAGTCTTTTGGGAAAGAGACCTCTCTTGGTGGATGTCTGAGAAGACCTTCTCCACGGTAACATCTGAATGGAGGGCTTTTCTGAGTGAAAGCTGTTACGGCGATGTGCTGGGGTGGAAGGCGGGTGTGCTCGGGTAGGACTGGGGCTCTGTGCCTGCCCCGCAGGTAGGAAGATGGCGTCTGCCCCTCGGGCAGCAGGGAAGGCAGTCGGCGCAGGCTCAGGCTAATTACTGCTTGACATGTCACATTTGCACTTTGCAGGTGGTTTCATCCCAACATCAGCGGAATTGAGGCAGAGAAGCTGCTCCTGACCAGGGGTGTCCATGGCAGCTTTCTGGCTCGACCCAGTAAGAGCAACCCAGGAGATTTCACCCTCTCTGTCAGGTAAGCAGACGGCAGCAGACGAGGACTGGAGGAAGGGGCTGTCTCGAACTCTCCAGCACACCCTGCTCCCATGAACGTATGTGCGAGGGGAGAGGCACGGCACTGAGATGACCTCTCTGTGGTGCCACTTGAAGCTAAAGGGTGACTGAGCTCTCCCCATCGCTGCAGAGGCTGTGCTAAAAGCCAGACACTACTTTCCCTGGGTTTGTTCATCCCTGTGGGTTGTAGATGCCCCTGTCCAACCCACGGGGTTGGCTCTGTGCTTGTGGCACATGTTTCTGGAGCCGTTGTTGCCAGAGGAGGGAAGATAACGAGCCCTCTTCTGTTTCTGGGGAGAGCATGTTCAATCCCAGCAGGGATGAATCATCTCACTCCAATTTCAGAGGAACTTAAGGTAGCTGCCTTTTGGGAGAAACTTGTTTTCTGTGTCTGCAAGGGATCCCAGGAGCACCTCCATCAGAGAGTGAGCTTGCTGACCAGCCTCGCAGTGGCTGTGTTCCCAGACAGTATCGCGCGCATCACCTTTAAAGTGCTCTTGTGTTCTTTGGGACCAAGGCAATTGCAGAAAGGAAAGCTGCGGTTTTGCCGATGGACTTTGTGAATGTAGCCCCTTATGAACGGTGGAGCAGATGCACTGGATAGAACTCTCTGAAGGTGAACTAAAGGGAAGAGGCAAAAAGTAACATCGACCCAATGAGTCCCCGAGATAAAAGGAGCAGGTTGTGGTTCAAGGCATGAACCTTCCACGAGCACCATCCAGCTGGTGCCTTGCAGGGAAATAGCTCAGCAAAGGTTTTTCCAGGCACTTTTAACACAGACCTCTTTTTTTTTTTTTTTTTTTTTTTTGTGGTGCCTTCTGTTTAATTTAACCCTCATTTTGTTTAGGAAATGCCAGTGAGTTTATAAATCCTTTGACCAACGCTGTGTTTAGAGAAACTTTGTGCAAACGACAGCACGGACAGAGCGTTTCCACCTGGCAGGGCACTGACATCAAGCGGGACGTGAGCAACGCCAGCACGGTGTGAGCCTCGGTCCCTCCCCACGCACCTCTCCCCCCCCAGCCAGGTGCTGCCGGAGCTGCTGGCGCATCAGAGCAGCGTGGCAATGCCCACTGGCTCCGGCGAGACTTTACCCTCTCCTTCTAGCCTTAACTGCTCAGGTGAAACCCTTCTTGACCTTATTTCTTCCCCCTTTGCAGTTGTCACTGGGCTTGAACCTACACTCCTTGCTCCCAAGTGCCGTCATTTCTTAGCTTGGCAAGAAAGAGGGTTTGCAGCTGCTTTATTTTTTAAATGCTTCCTTTTGTGTTGGGGAATACAACCCAGCAGTCCAACCCTTTGCCTCTCAGATGGCTCTGACCGACCGCAGCTCCTCACGCTATGGAGCAACCCAGCGGAAGGGAAAAAGTCCAGTTTTTCCTGCGCATCGGCTGGGTGGGGAGTGTTTGGATCTGACTTCACTAGCTCCCCAGTAATCTTGCAATCAGAAGTGGCTGCGAGTTAATGAGAGAGGCAGGAAGTGCTTCTAATTAGAATGGAAAATAAACTCAGTCACAGAGAGCTGCCTTGAGCAAGCTATGACAGCAAGGGAATACGTGTAAAATGGGGGCTTATCTTCATGTGAGCTTAGTGTCTCTTTTAATGTAATTTTGTGAGTCAGGGTGTTGTCTGATTGTAGAGTGAAGTACTGACAGCACCTGCTTAGCCAGGCAGTGTGCAAGCAGATGCAGGTTATGGCTGTGCAAGTGTCCTGATGTGGTAAGATACCCAGCTAGCAGCAAAATTACCCTGAAAGAGCAGGGGTATTTCTTTGCCGGGAGAGCCAGTTCCCGTACCTGCATTACTGCAGTCGTGCCTTGTCCTGTGGAGTCAGTCCACAGGTTTGCATAGTTTTCTTCCCTTAGCTCTGTCCCTGTGCCTCAGCCAAAGGCCATGTGTGTTTCTCCTGTTGTGGTTTTCTTGCCTTCCACCTGTGCTGGCCCACTGCCTCCCCTCTTCCAGCTGTGGCACGTGTTGAGACTGGGGGGATAAAAGCTTGGCCTCCCGTGGAGGCTACAGCTGGCTATGGAGTCCCAGAGCAGTTTTATTATTGCTATTATTTCTTTACTCCTTTCTACTTTCTCTGTGGCAGAAAGCAGAGAGGGGGGAGGAGGGAGTGTCAGATTATCGGAGGGGGTTTGGACCACTTCCTACTGCAGGGAGACCTTTATATTGCAGTAAATGTTTAATAACAGTATTGTTTTGGCCATAAGATCGAGCCAATTAATGCCCTTAATGCATGAATGGTGCCCTGCAGTGATGAGATGCAGGTTAAGAGCAGAGCAATACAGCATGCCTTAATATCAGAGTATTGAACCACCACAACCCACTGACAGATTGTAACTCAGTGGAAAGTCTGACCGACTCTCACAGTTCTGAGTAAACCAAAGCTGTGACACATACCATGTTTCCAGGAAAGCACATTAAACATGACACCCAAGCTTAGAGGCAATGTGTTGAGCTTTGAGGCATCACAAATTGAAGACAAGGAAAGAAAGAATTCTTTCATTGACTACTTTTTACCTGCAAGTCCTTGCTCCTTCCTGGCTCATCCCATCTCTATTCCACGACTTGAGGCAAGGGTTGTCCTATAGTCTCGGGTATGGAAAATTTGTTTGGATGTGGTCACTGGTTAGGTAGACCAGTTTTGCTTATACTTCATCTGAGCCATATGCTCTTTTCCCGCTGACGATGGGCCCAAAACATGTGCATAAATGTTCTTGGGAATTAGAGCTGCAAGACCAAATAGAGTATAGAATGAGTAGCTTTATGTGCTGTGAAAGCTGAAAACTTGGGCGGCTGACTGCCCGCTATGTTCTTCCCCTTTCCCTGTTACATTACACACACACACAGATGGAACAATGTGTTGTTATTCTCACCTAGAATTGTATCCTAATAGAGCTTGCTTTTTTTTTTTAAATCTCTGAACTGGGCAGGTCTATATATTTTTTTCCTTTCTGAGAAATAAAAGGTTTTCAAAGGAAACAATACAGATACCTTTGAAAAAATACCTAAAATAGAGGTGGGGAGAAAACACCTTTAGGAGAACAATCAAAACCTCTTCCTCCTTCTTTCAACCCCCTTTCAGCTTCTTCAAGGGTTTTTGAAAGCCAGTGAAGGGAAAGGCAGCTCCTTTTAATTACAGAGAGGATGTGGGCTGAAAAGAAAGCAGGCGATGGAGTTTTGGCTGACCAGACCACACACCAAGTGACCATGTGCTGGTGTGTATCCAGATATGTGTCCCTGAAGAGAGGCTAGGAAATAATATTGCAGAAGTTATGAGAAGGTTGCCATGAAACTCTGTGGCTGCTTTTCCTTTCTTTCTTTACCTTTATGCACTCTTTCAGCCCTTACCATTACAGCAACAAGTCTTCACAGGGCTTTGTTTTTTCAGCTCTTAGGAGAAAGAGGCAAGCCACACGGAGAGGACATGATATGGTTAATGAACGGATGATGTTTGTCCTGGTCTTAAAGTAATAGAAAAAACTCTTCCAAAAATTCTCAGCTCTGAGTCCAAACTGCTGGCAGCTTGTAATGGGTCAAACCTGGCTCCTTTCATCAGCCCTTCCTCTTCTGAAACATACTCTTGGGATGCCTCTGCAGATAAGTTCAAAAGCTTGTTCCACCCAGAGGATCAGAGATACCTGCCGTAGTCCGGTGCCAAGAGGGCTGTGTCTCTGAGAAGTCTTTGTTTGGTGTGCTGGTGGTACATCAGTACTAGATACTGAATTTGGATTTATTAGCTTATCTTATTCTTTGGGCACTTCAGCAAATAATGTGGAGCACATCGACAGGGAGGAAAGTGGTCTGGCAACTTCAGCTGAAGTGTAGTGATGACAGAGAGCCACTCTGAGTAAGGCTGTAGTAATATCTGCTGCGTCTATACGTGAGCTGTCTTGTTTTGTTCCATGCAGTTGCTGCAGCACTGCTTTCTGCAGGTATTTCGGTGTTGCCTCAACCCAGACAATAAGACAGCTCTGTATCAGTGGGTCACTTAATGTGGGTGATATTCCCCATCACAGGGATCGGCTCCTGCAGGTTATGGGTGCTAGTGTTTGCCGAAGGTAAGGACAGCACTCCAACACTTCATGCTTGCTTTAGAGTGGCTCACAAAACCTGCGCTGAATGGGACTGTTTGGAGGAATGCCTCAGCTTCTGAGCCTGGAAGGGGCTGGAAAGTGGAGCTGGGCTTCCAGGAGAGCTGTGGAAGCTCTTCTGGATGGTGGGAGCAGAGCCTGCTAGTTAGGGGATTTTTGGAGGATGCAAGTAGATTTTATTTGCCTGTTGCAGTTCTGATGTTACAAAAGCTTCCTTGCCTTTCTTGTATGCTATGTCACATCTCATTTTCCTAGAAGGACCTGGTACTGGGTTTGCTTTTGATATTGAGTCTTCCAAATTTTAATTGTGATTCTTAAGAAAATATACCTCCTTTTGAAAGTGAGGGCTGTAGGGGGAGAAATGTTTCCAGCCTTCAGTGCTTGCCTGGATCTGCCAGAGCATGTTTTCAGAAGACCAAGTATTTAGAATCACTTCTGAAGAAAGTGAACAGCTTCTTACAGATTTGGCCAGGTCTGGGTAAATAGTTTGAACAAAAGGAAAAGTCATGTTGAAAGTTTGCCTAAGTGGTGCTTGGCCCGTGGCCAGGACAGTGATGCAAATGCCAAGACAGTCAAGAACCATCTGTTAGAGACCCTGTTAACTTGGTAACTGCGTCACGTTTTATGGGAACAGATCTTATCCACGTTCGTGGGATACAGTACAAATTGCTTCTGGGTAACAAAATCTTGTTAGAGCTACAGTCTCCCGGAGTGGTTTCCCTATTAACACTTCCATTGAGCATTCCTATATTTAACTGGACTTTTTTTTCCCCCCGCCAAGGACATGTACAAATCCACTCTGGGTACAGGTTAAGACATTCGATCAAGAAGGAGGATTGTATGTATTCTATAGGACATAATCTGTGAAAAGGAGTAAATCAATACTGCAGGTGTGTTACATTGGTTGAGTTGCTGCCTACAGACAACACAGATGCAGCAGGGGAAGAAAGTTGGGTCTGGAGAAGAATGGATGGAGGCTTGAAAGAGGCTCTTTTCTAAAACAGTTGTCCTTGTGTCTCATCATAATAGCACCTACCTACTAAGGCCCTGTAATCCAGGCCTACGCAAATATTGAGTGAGAGGTATGCCTGATTCTTCTAAGGGAAACACTGTCTTCATGTTACAACTGGGAAACGAATGATGGGCCCAGAGTCACCCTGATGCTAAGAAGGTGCTGAACATCAGATCATCAAATCTTGGCTGAGTGCTTTTATCACAAGACCCTTCTTCCTTTAAGAAAGCATGTTCTCCCCTGGCAACAATGTCTTACTTTTGTCCTGGAGTGGCTTGAACTTATTTGGAAGCAAATTGTTCAGTTAGGGATGTAATACGGATGGATGGATACCTTTGGCTTACTTGTGCTCATGTTTGCTGCTATTTACAGGTTTGGCAAGGCAGAGGAGTGTGGTGAAAGCCTCCTTTTGATGGCAACCAGTTGGCAAATGGTCTGTGCTTCACATCCCTTCCCAGGGCAAAAGGCTGAGTCTCTTTGGAGCGGGAAGCACCTTCAGGAATGCAAAAAGCATAAATGCGCTATAGGGACACAGTGCCAATGGGCGAGTTCACTGAGTACATGGATGTCCTTGGTCTCCTCCATGCACCTTCTGGAGCTCCTAACACCTTAAGTGAGCAGTAGGGCTCAGACAGTCGGCTGAATTGCTTCTTCCTAGGAATCAGGCATGAGAATTTGAAACCCATACCTAATCCCTAGAATTCACTAGGTTGTATATTAGAAATTGCATGCAAATGTCAGCTGGTTCTGTTGTGTTGTATTGGTGGATAGCGAGTTTTCTCTGAGAGCCCAAACTATCATTTAATTGAAAGCAAACTTTCAGCAATGTTTCTAAACCCTGTGGGAGGTTCTTCTTGGTTTTCCGTAGAGAGACTTTGGGGTTTTTTAGGTTGCTTTTTGCAGCTTGTCAGAGTGGTCATATATGCATGCTGTGAAGTTATAGGCATTCTCTGTCTGACGCAGGCAGGAAAAGCACATGACCAAAAAAGACTTTTGGGGATGCAACAGGCAAATGTATTTCTGACATTTAAAGTGGCTCTTCTGCCTTCAGTGACAAAAAAGGGTCTGTCTGGGTTTTTTGCGAGCCCTCTTCTTTATTGACTGCGCTCTATTGCGAAGAAGAGCAGACTGCATCTGCGCTGAAGGTCACTGCATCATGGACACAGATTCACAAGCTGGAATATTTTGGATCGAGAAACCCTCCTGGACATCTAGCTAAGGAGTTGTGCTGACAGTGTAAAGAAGCTTAGCTTGGAATGGAGGCAACTCTCACTTGTCTGACTGCTGACTCTGAAGCTGCCAAAAAAGCTGGCATCTGCTATTGAACAGTTCTGCATCCCTGTATGAGAGCTGTGTGTCTGTTAGTCAGTAGCCATGCCCTCCGGCACAGGGCGGCCGAGTACTTTGGGCATCTCCTTTGTGCTTTATTTCTCCAGCCAGCATGTCGAGGGCACGGTTTAATGCATGCTGCTACTGTGCAGCCCAGTTCTGCTGCCCAGCTTGGAGCTGCAGAGGTGACGCAAGCTTTAAGAGAAGAAAATAGGGAGGAAATGGCGATCGATCAATGCCCTTTGTGTTTAGCATGACCTTGAGGGCTCATGGGATAAAGGACCCTGATTATCTCTCTGCTTTTCATCCCTGAAGTGCTCAAAGGCCTTGGGGGTGGGGGGGTGGGTCTGTGAACTGAGCCTTTGTAGGTCTGTAATGGGGTTGGGATGTGGGGACGGAGCTGGGGAAAGAAGGGAGCTTTTGAGCCTCAGGCCAAGTGGCAAAAACACAGTTTCGTCTGCTGCCTTCTGGGCTGCACAAAAGCTCTTCGTGTCCAGCTGCTGGCGTGAATGGCCGAAGCACTTCATGTGCCAGCTCCTCTCGGAGAAGAGGCTTTGTCATCGGGGCGCTGGCTGGGAGCTGGATTTCACAGCCAGTTTTCATTTCCATCTAGTGAGTTCTGCTCATACCCTAGATTGCCAAACTTTGAAGTCTCTGCCCATAGGACAGCTGGAGTTGGCTGTGGTCAGAACTATGCTTACCAGATGTACCAGGAGGAGTTAACTGTGTCTCTCTAAATACCAGGAGTGCCATTCATCGGTTTCCCATGTTACAGATGGTTGGGTTCTGTCTCCAAGACCTTGTTGTCGAGGTGTAGTGTGACTGTTCAGGATCCAGATGCAGATTTTCGCACCTCAGGCCTGTTTGTCAGCCTCTTGCTGGTTTTGTTCTGCTATTAATGTGGGATGATGGTAACACTGTGGATGCTGTCTCTGTCTGTTCATACTCAGTCGTTGCCACTGAATTGGCAGTAACTGGAAATCACCTCAATGCCAGGCACAGCATCCAGGAAGGGCTGTGTGAGCACAAACTGGAATTGCTGATTCTACATTGACAAATTCCTCTTTAGCAACTGGGATGGAGTAAATGTGAATATAGCCATCTGTCAGGGCAGTGTTTTAGGGAGAACCACATGACATGTGGTGACTGTGGCTTGAATGTGGCTAAGAGTATTGCCGTCTAATCATAAGTCATGCCTCTAATAAAGGCCCCTGGAGGAGGGGCACACAGTGGCTGTGCTAGCACACTGCTGTTAATGTTTCTGTGGGCTCTTCAAGGCTTAGCACAGAGATCTCATTGCCAAGTTCATGGCCTCGTCTTGTTCCCGAGCTGCTGCTGCTGTGTACTCTAGCACAGCTTGTTGGACAGTAGCATTTAATCTGCTCGTGCACAGGACAAGCCTCTCATATGCCAGAAGTCGTGGCTGTTAAAATCCCCAAGATATGTGGAAATAGCAAAATCCATGGCAATAGTTACATAAAGGTAGCCATGAGTGCATCCCAGGGATGGTGAGTGAGTGCATCCCAGGGATGGTAGTGACCATCTCGTCGCTGTGAGAGGCTGCTGTACTTCTCACAGTGCTCTATGCGCCCTTCACCATTCATCCCACAGTCCTGCAGATACACAGCCCTGGGCTCACGGAATTTTATGTCCTCTGCTGTCAGGCCTTTTGGGAGAGTGAGTTATTACAAAGTCAACAGAGTCCTCCCAGGTGGACTTTCATTGGACCTTGCACTGCATAGTTCAATGTAGTATTCAAGAGGAGGTACCAGGGAGGAGGTCGTTTCTCACCTTACCTGAGGAGCCAGGTGTCCGTCTTGCATGTGCGAGGCAGGATGGAAAAGCAGCTGGATCCCCTCTGCCAGAGGAGAACTCGACCACCTTGCTGCTGCTCCGAGCACTTGTCTGGACTAGAGGAGTTTGCACAAAGGTATTCAAATAAAATGACACCACTGTAAACCCTGTGCAGATTTAGCATGATAGGGGGAACCTTAGCGAGTGACAAGTGCGGTGAAATGAGGCTAGCACACACCCTGGTGTGCACATCCAGCTGACACAGCCTGGCTGGGCTCCTGCAGCTGCGCCAGAATCCCCTAAGGCAGACAGAGCCTTTTGCCACCGCTTGCATTTGAGGGCCAGATCGTAACCTCTCTCTGAAATCGAGAGATAGGGTCCACACTCTGAGGTAGACAGTACCTACAGCCCAAGAAAACTAAACAGGAGATGATTTTGTGGAGCTAGGGCTAGATATCCAATACCATCCAGATATCTGGTCTTTCACTGCATTGCTACGGGGGCTGTACCCGGCTGCAGAAAGATAGCAGAAATGGGAGCAGGACCACTAATGAGACCCCCTGAGCCCCTGCCATGGATCCAGCTCTTCCTTCCATTTAACCTCGTGCACGGACCACTGTAGCTTTCCTAATTCCCCACTCCATGAAATGGCTTTTCTGTCTGACCTGGTACGCTGCCTATACCACCTTGAGTCTCCTGCATCTCACTGTCACGGTTGCTTTGGCAACAAATTGAGAGAGGCTGGGAGCAGCTCGGCATGGTAAAGAACAAGAAATTTGCCCAGATTTATGAATCTCTCTCTGACGTAGCTCGTCCATCAAGCAATGGGCTTCCAGCCATGTCTCTCCGGCTCGGGGGGCTGCTGCTAAGTGCATTTAAAATGCAATTAACCTGCTTCTCGGAGGTTAGTGTGGCCTTCTGAGGGAGGAGGCTGGGCTTTGCTGGGGTGAGGGAGCTCTTGAAACAGGCTGATAAAGGCACCCAGCCATATTCCCTTGAGCCTGGAGGGCACCACTGGAGAGGGGAAAGCATTAACCCTTTCGGTACAGTTTATAGGGTTTGTGAATACCAGGCAATATATTGGTTTGGGTGATTTTTTTCCTGTTTTTTTTTTTTGTTTTTTTTTTTTAAACTAATTAGATGATAGCGAGTACCCCTGTGCATAGAAAAACCAGAGTTGAGGTCAGAGCCTCGTCCAGCTGAGAGGGTAAGTAGTGTAGGAAGTGGAAGGGATGGCAGAGGAGGAATTATTCACCTCCTTTGTGTGAGGTTGTCTGGGAAGCAGAGCGGGCTGGGAGCTTGTGAGGTACAGAGTCAGTTCTTGGCTGAGTAACCTTGGCCATGGAGCACC